GGGGCCCTGGGCAGCCTGGTCGAGCATTAAATGTGGAGATTGATTCCCTGCATGTGGCAGGGGGTTGGAGATTTGTGATCCTTGAGGTCCTTTCCAACCCTGGCCATTCTGTGGTTCTGTGTGATTCAGTCTCTCTGCTGTGAGGACTTCACCTCTCTCGCAGGCTCGTTGCTCTTTGGGATGAACCAGTCCCAGCAACTGTCACCTGTTGCCTTTATGAGTCTGTCTCAGGATCGCCCCCTGTGCAGGGCTGCCTCCTGCTTCTTGGCACTGCTCTGCCCCCTTTTGCACACACAAGTGCAGTGTGTGTGGTTGCCTGTTGTCAGGCACACTCAGATACACAAGCCTGCATGCTCTGTCACACACACAAGTGAAGGAAGCACCTGGTTCCCAATGAGAACACTGTAAGGTGATCACTACAACATTTAACAGGGACTACAAGGCTTTCTGTCTCACCACCTTCACCACGTATTCAGGCCAAATTGCAGCACCATTTCATCCTTTTCAGCCACTACATCACACTGACACCCGCTCTGCAGTGCCTTCACGCACGCAGCGCTTCACTTGCACCCCAGCACACACGATGCTGTTTCTCATGTGCACACTGCAGCACAGTCAGCACACCTTGCTGCAGGATGTGGTCGGAGGTCTCCCCTTCCAGTGCTGCCCCACGTAACTCCATGGTTACATGAGGTTGTCACGGCTCTGCAGCCCCCTACCCCAGCTTGATGGAGGCTGATGCACAACATCCATCCATCATAGCACCAGGGGCTGTGCTGCACCCATGTGCTGTTATTGCTGGCCCCATCTCTGTTTGCACACAGAGAAGGAGCTTACCATCACCTTCCCCCCTGCTCCTGCATAGCAAGTGCTCGGTTTGTTGCTGTATGTCTCTGAGTGGCTTTTGTCCTTCTGTGGAAGCTCTCTGTTCTCTGAAATTCATGCTGTCTCTTGGGTTCCACTTTACAGACTGTTGAGCCTGGTTCATGCATGCCTGCTGATTTTGAGTGGCATCGACCCTCTTAAATGAGCCTTCTTTTTGAAGCGTAAGGGTAAAATACTTCTCAATAATGTTTTAACTGCTTAGGGGGACGTTGACACAAATATGCTCCTTTTTGTGGATGCTCTGATCTAACTGATTTTTTTGCTTTTGTAGCTGGAGCCGTACATGGATGAAAACTTTGTTTCAAGAGCCTTTGCCACCATGGGAGAGCTTGTACTGAGTGTAAAAATCATTCGAAACAGGTTGACAGGGTAACTGTTCATACTTGTTCTCAATTCTACTGCTGCATCACTATGCTTGGGGAGTTGAATTGTGTGCAGTTTACATGGCATCACAGTGGGCTTATCCATATTAGAGCAGTTTTCCCTTTCAGCTTTTCACCATTGCTGCTAACAATACGGGCGTATTGATGACAGCAACGGAGAGGACAGTTGCTCACTCTCTGACCTTGCTATCAGTGAACCATCCTGCAGTGCTCCAGCACTCCTTCAGAGCAGCACACACGTGGCATGCAGTCTGTCTGGGGATACACATTCAGGGCAGAGGGCTTCAGTGACAAGTCTGTTATTGTTGTAACAGCACAACTACGAGATGCTAGCAGAGGTGGGAGGCCTGACTGAGAAAGGGCCCTACGAGGACCTTTGGAGTGCATTTGCAATCAGTGGCTGTAAACAAGATGAAGTATTTTTGTGTTCTTCTAAGTGTTGTCATTTCATTTTTTCAGTCGCTCAAACTTGGGTGGGAATATTTATGATCAGTGAAAGGAGGGAGTGGAATAATTGTGAGCAAAAGTATTTTCTGTGTTCTTATGTTGACGTGACTTACTGGTAAGTAGGAGCAATCAGTTCAGTGAAGATCCAATGTTACTGTAGCAGGTTCTGTTTGGTAGCTAGCATTTATACTTTAAAAAAGAAATCCCTCCATGTACTGCTACTGGAGCAAATTTTCTACCAATTATCTGAAAATATAATATTTTGTCCTCAAACGTTTTCAGTCTGAAATCTTTTTTCTCTCCTGTCCTTTGTCTGCGTTCAGAATTCCTGCAGGCTATTGCTTTGTAGAATTTGCAGATCTGGCTACTGCAGAGAAGTGTTTACACAAAATCAATGGAAAACCTCTTCCTGGTGCTACACCGGTGAGTAAATCACATCAGTCAGTAGCAAAGCAAAACTGTGTGAGAGAAGTAGAGAAGAATTTGTGTTTTGAGTAATGATGACGAAGAAATTAAGTAGCAAACTGGGGGTTTTCTTTTCGTTAGATTTAATGATCATAATGCTGTTAAGAAAAGGATTGGAAAATGTTAATTTTTACTTGAGTGTCTGGATGATGCCCAGGTATAGAAATGCTGTGGTGTGGCTTTTTATTTCTGAGCTCAACCAAAGTTGGAGCAATGAGAAACTAGAGACGAACAAGGAAAAAATAGGTTGAATATACATACCACAGTCCTTCTGTCTCTTTGCATTTGTAGTTCCATATAAATTTGTTACAATTTGTATGCTGTGATACATACACAAGGTGAGCTTTCAAGTTTAAGCTTAATTTTCAGTAACTTTGATTTGCAAAAGTGACTTTTAAGCACTGCATTATTCTTAGCCCCTATTAAACAAAAGTTATTCAGACCCATTTACAGTGGAGAAAGAACTGGTCCGTTGTATAACTGCAACACATAAGAGGTACCCCAAAGCTGGTTGGATGGGAAGAAGAGGAGGAATAGCCACAGAAGCTAATTTTAGGGTGTTGACTTGAATGTGAGGTATGTTAAAGTGGGATGGCTGACACAGCTGTTCCTTGTATCTGCAGAATTTGGCTGCAGTAGCTAGGATGGCTGGTTCATAAAGAAACTCTAGAGTCACTTCTGTTACAGTGTGATATATGAAGGTGAATTGGTGCCTGTTTCAGTCCAGTTAGTCCCCTGGGTTGGTCAGCCTTCCTAAGAGCATGATATTCCCCATGGAAAGGGATAGATAAGATGTCTGGAGGTCTTCTGTCCCATTTAATATGCTCTTATTCTGCAAATAAGAGGCCATGACTAAGAGAAGCCAATCTTCCTAGGTGCCTTCTGTAGTCATTAAGAGAGAAAGCAGCTTCTGCGAGAAGGTAACAATTGAAGTTTGGTTTGGGGAGTACTGGCCTTTATCCACAGTTTAATTCAAAATATGATGTTGTTTAGGGGGACAACTTACGTAATACATGGAGAGAATATGGGTGTCAGACAGAGACCCAGCGTGGGCAGCCCAACTCAGTGCACTCAGCAGGCAGTGGTTCAGCTCCTCTCTTGTATTTATGTAGTTTCTGCTTTGCAGAAAACAGAATGTGGCTCTTATGTTTATTTTTACATACTGAATCAGTCAAAGGACTAACAGAGGGCCCTGGTGTTTTTACTGTGTCTCTTTTACACAGTTAGTGTCCCCAGCTCCTGTATCTCCTGTGCAGATGCTTTCACTTTTCTCAGTGATTTTAAGCCCAAAGTATTGCAGTGAAGAACTAGATCCAACAAAAAGATGAAAGTGCTTCAAAGTGAGATCTCAATTTTGTGTTAGGAGACTTAAGCTTGTAAATGATCCACAGAAACAGCTGAGTACCACTGTACACCAGTAAACACAGGCATGCAAGGAGCATGATTATAGCCTGGAGTTAAGTCTTGCTCTATTTCCCTTTAATTATTTATGCTGTTTTTGAGGGAAGAAAATACATCATACAAGGCATGGGAACTCACCAGGCTCTCCACTGTGTGAAATAAATGTTCTGGTCTCTAGGTGTTGGACTAACTGTAGGCTTGTGTTCTTTGTCCAAATCAAATTCTTTGATGCTATGCCACTGCATAGTGCAGAGAGATGTGTGCTTTGGAAGTCTGCTGGGAGACAGAAAGATTGGTTTGAAGCCATTTAGTCTTTGTACTAGCAAGGGATTCCAGCTTAGTTCTTCCACTGTCTGGGTGAGTTCCGAAACCAGTGTTCTTTTCAAAGAGTGCAACCCCTTGCTTCTTCCTCTGTCAGACTTGTTTTGGAAGGAACTATTTTGTAAGGAAGTAGCAGTCAGTGCTGCACTGTGCAGTGAGCCTGTGGGTCACTGTGTGCTGAGCATCATGTAGGGGTGCCTGTGGGATTGAGACCCACGGGATTTTGAGGCTCCTTAGGTCCTGGTCAGAGCTGCACGTGAGCTGGACACAAGTGGCTGAACTCTGGTAGGATATGAGTGAGGTGTTCCAATGGCACAAATGTGTGTTCCTGGGAAACTTGTGTAAAAAAGAGAGGGGGCATCTTTCAGGGAAAGCTCCTCCGCACCCAAATAAATGAGTGCTTTGTGCAGAGCAGAGTATTTAGCCATACTTCCAGAATCAGGGATTGGTTCCATTTCCCAGCATGGCAGGTTTTGCTTTGTCAGTATTCTGGTAAATGACAAACATCAAACATCCAACTGTGTGTGCTGTCATTTCACTGTAAGACCTTGACATCAGAAGTCATGTAACACTTGCTGTTAGAACCTCAACATTCCTGTCTTCCATAAAGATACACAGTTTTGGTACTGGTAAGGTTAGCCCAATTTTCACTGGCTTTGTGAAGTGTTGAAATAAAGGCAGAGCAAACCCCTTGGTGCAGGCCCTTTGCTGCTTTTCATTATTGTAGTGTCCTGAAATGAAATAAAAACCTTGTCCTAGATACCCGAACTGAATGGCCTGACAGCTCTGAACGTCTGCAGTATTAAAAAAAAATAGATATCTAAAGTAAGCTTATTGCATTTTTCCTAATTGTATGGATTTACATGGGAGCATTTGAATGTATGGATTCATTTTTGCCTTTTTTCAGGCAAAGAGATTTAAATTGAATTATGCAACGTATGGAAAACAGCCCGATAACAGGTAAACACCCAACATTCAAATATTAGTTTTGCCTGTTTAATGTCTCTTTATCAATTGCCTTGCAAAGAGTATTCAAAATATGTAAACCCACAAGTTCATTATTGCTGGATGAGATGTACAGCTAGCAATTTTGGACAGGAGAGAATTCATTAGATGCATACAACTCAACCTTCTGCAGTGCCAGACAGCTAAATCCCACAATTAGAAACATGGATTGCATTAAACTGTCTTGGAACACAATGTAAATATTTGGTATGCTGCAGCATGTTAGGACTTTGTCTGAGGATACATCCCATCATAATACTACATTATGCCATGTGTATGTTTGGCACTTAAAGATAGGTGCAGTGGTTTCACAGCACCTGGCTTGACTGGCTGTGGTACCACAGCAGTCAGCAAAGGCAGGGAGAAAAGCTCTGAATTGCCTTCAGGAGGAGCCCATCCCTCTCCAAGGGCATTGAAAGGCCCAAGAGGAGGCACAGCAGCTGTGTGGAGTTTCTGGAGTTGGGCAGTTTGAATAGCTGTCATAATGCCTGCCCAGAAATGCTTACACAGTTGGGGTAATAACAACACGATGTGTTCAGGTAGGTGTGTACCACAGCCCTGCAATTTAGGAGGGTTGTGTTAGTCATATCTCAGCAATTATATTTTTAGTTTAGGTAATTATTAATATTTAAAAAAAAAAAAAAGAAAAGAAAAGAAAAACAACTTCAGATTAGAATCAAGGCGTGAGAGATGGGGCCAAGAATGAGATTTACGTCTTGTATCATTCTTGCAGTTCTGTTTGCTCTGGAAATAGTCACATACTGCAGATGGATAACACAGCCTTGCTGACTCCAGCAGCTTGCCTAGCAGAGGGAGGATAACTTAGACCACCTGTCAGTTTCCTGCTTTACCTTCTGTGTGGCACAGCAGGTTTGTCAGGAGTGTCTTTTTAAATATTTGAACTTTTTAGCATCAAAGTATCTAATCCATGTATTATAATTTAAGATCAGTATTCAGGAAATAGCAAACCTATAAATGAGACAGTGATGCTTTCTTGACACGTTAGAAATTTATGTACAGTGCCCAGTTCAGAATGTCTGAGAACTAAAAAATGAAATTGTCTTTAAATACAGAGCAGAATAACTCATTAGACTCATTGTGCTGCTTAACTAATTGAAAAAAGCATTGCTGATAAAAATTATCCTTTAATGTCAGTTTTCTCTGACATCAAATTTTTGGGCTCATCACACGTTTTGTGGACATGTGTGTATTTGTGCCTAAGAAGTTTTCTTTTGATTTCTTTAGTCCAGAATATTCACTTTTTGTGGGAGACCTGACTGCTGACGTGGATGATGGCATGTTGTATGAGTTTTTTGTTAAAGTTTATCCATCATGTAGAGGTGGAAAAGTTGTTTTGGACCAGGCAGGAGTATCCAAGTAAGTCATCTTTTATTCATTCTTTTCTTTAACTTCACATTCTAGCATAGGAAATATGCAGCAAGGAAAGAAGAATAGCTTAGATTTTAGTAGAACACACACCTGCTAGAATTGTAACGTTCCTGTGCAGTGTTGGGGTCAGTGTTGTGCTCTGTGTGTTGGCAGTACAGTATTGCACTTCTGAAAATGCTGTAAAATGATCTGGAAAAACTGGACTTTCAGATAGAATTGTGCTTTTGCAGTTGGCTATTGAATATATATTCCTGGGCTATTGAATATATATTCCTATGGGAGCTTTGCAGGTTGTTGTTTCAAATGGGGTAGGGCAAACAAAGCTATGATTCATTAGCAAGGAGTTAGGAGCCACCTTGTTCATCTTTACTGGAAATGTCTCATCAAAAACAGATGTCAAAAATGTTCTTAATGTTAATAAAACATTTTCTAAATTGGAGAACATGAACTCTTTTTTATTTTCTTAGGAGAGAGACCAGTTGGCTAGCATCCTTGTTTTCAGGACAGAACATGGCTTCAATGAAACACAATATTCTGACACAATAGCTATGAGAATGTGGTGACAAGACGTAGAATGTGGCTGTAGATCTCCCTCTTTCTCACGTAAGGGTTTCTCAACTCTAAGATACGTTGGTTTGAAGGAATATCTGGAGGTTTTCATGTCCAACTTCCTGCTCTGAGCAGAGCTGCTGCCAACATGAGCTCAGGTCAGCAATGAATTGTGTAGCCTGGAAAATCTCCCAGGCTGAGATGATGTAACTTGTCTGGGCAGCCTGGCCCAGTGCTGCATAGCTCTCTATGAAGAAGTTATGCTGCTTAACTCACAAAGTTATGATTCTGAGTCTTCCTTATCTCCAACCTGAACCTCTTGCAATGCTGCTCAGTCACTCTCAGGCTGTTAAGTACGTGTGCTGTTACTGCCACCTCTCCTGAGGCCAGCTGTGCCCTGGGGCCTCCCCCAATTTCTGTTCTGCTCTGCAATATAGGTGATGGGTGATGTTCATTGGGCCACTAAGTGGGCTTTGGGAACAGCTCCTGGTTGCAGACCTCAGGGAAAGGTACCCTGTGTTCCCTTGGGATGTGGGGAAGGGGCAGTGACTCTGTTGGTTGCTGGGAGAGCACAGCAGCCTCACCCAGCAGTGCTGGGGTGTTGCTTCCAGCTTCCTTATGGCTTGGGCACTTACTCAAAGCTGAGGAAACTGCAAGTGTTAGGGTGGTACGAGAATGGATGTTGGTGTTTGTGGATGTGCCCAGTGAAGATCTGAGCCTGCAATGGTTTTCCCAGCACCTGCTGTTCAAGCAAGAGAAGAGTTTGGAGTCTGATACTGTCGTGCTGTGCCTGCTTCCTTGCTTTCTGCCATGGGTGTAGGCTGGGAGTCTTCTTTTAACTCTTGGGACAGGGCAGAATGTCTGCCAGGGAGATTCTGACTTCAGCAAAATGTTTTTGGGGAGGATTTTTTGTGTGCCTGGATTTGTTGGGTTTTTTTTGTTGTTGTTGTTTGTTTGCCTTAGGGTTTTTTGTTGTTTTTGTTCTGTTTGGAGGTGGTTTTTTGCTGTTTTTTGTGGATGTGGTTCTTCTTTTTTCTTTTTTCTTTTACTTGTATTAAAATCTGGTTTAGCCACTTATACGAAAAAACTAAGCATCTGGAAATGTTGGAAGAATCACCTTCTCTGCCTTGCTGCAGCCAACTGTCTATACCCACACCTTCCATCTACTTTGTCCACCACTCATTCAGAGCTGGCAACGTTCCTGCTTTCACTTACACACTTCTGTCCCCATCTGAAGGCTGCTGCAGCCTCTGTAGCTGCTTAGAAACTTACACACTGTTGCGTGTGATCAGCCATAGCTGACTGGGGTGTTGATTTACACCAGATTGATTTGCCACTGTGCTTTCACAGAGGGTAAGTTGAATTAAGCTCACCAATTTGAAACAGAACGTGTACCCATGTAGAGTTCTGCTCTTGCTTAGTTATCCAGTTTGTATATTGACAAGCTTGAGCTTTGACTTGGGCTTCTTTATATGGGGAGTATACATATGGGCATGCATAGATGTACACGAAAATAAATATTCAGATTTACATTTATAGCTTGCTGTGCAAGATATTGCATTTTATGGGACACCAACTGCTCTGTAATAACTTCCAGTGTGGATACAGTATGAGCGCTTCGTGATGACACTTTCAAAACTATTGTGTGTGTTACTTTGCATTTAATTGTTCCCACAGAATAGATAATAATGCTGTAAATTCACACCCTCGCTCAGGGCTCGTTCTTTTCCTGGGTAGCCAAGCACCTCCCATACTCCTTCAATCACCCAGGTGGATTCCTCTTCCCCTCCCAGCCCAAGTCTTTGATCTTTGTGCTGCGTGAGGCAGCCCATCCCATGCTGGGATCCTGGCACTGCCCTTTGGGTGCTGTTGCATTGCTTCTGACTCACTGCAGCATCAAGGCCCACGCGAAGGACTTTTGGGATCAGGGAGGGGGGAAGGGAATTGATGGTGTTGGTCTGGCTGATGTACGCTGTGCTGTAGTGCTGCAGTTGAGGGCTTGCTGTCTGAATGCTGCTGATGCTCAAGCTATGCTATCAGAGCAGGTTTTAGCAACCTGGTGTTAAGAGCTCGTTTTCATTCACTGTTGACAGTGCTGATGGGATCGGGTGGTTGTTAGGAATGACTGGAAGTCCAATTGGAGTTTCCCTGTTGGAAAAAGGACTTGATTAAAAAGCGCATCTCAGCTGATCCTACAGAAAAGCAGCACTGTGCTTCATGTGGGGCAGCTGTAGACGCAGTGGCCATGCCTTTGTCTTGTCAGTCCTGCGCTGAGTTGCATCTTTTCAGATCACCTGTGTTCTCCCAGTAGAGATTTGAGGCTTTGCTGCTGTCTGTCCGTGCATTTTGACACGTCTTGTGTCAGCTCACTTTGAGTTCCCTGAGATCTGCTGGCAGAAGGCTTGGCTTCCTTCTCTGCAGCCCTTGGAGGTGCTGCTGAAGCTGAGATCTGAGCATTCAAGCTCTCTGCAAAGAAAGCAAAGCAACTGAAAGAGGGAATCGTGTAACCTCTATCAAAAGCCCCAGTGGAAGCGTTTCATTTACTGTGCTTTGCAAAGTCAGTTTAGATTTCAACATCAATACTCCAAAAAAAAAAAAAAAGCAGTGAGTCTTTATGTGCTTCTGTTTGATACAAATTCTTCCATATCTCCACAGAGGTTACGGCTTCGTGAAATTCACAGATGAACTGGAGCAGAAAAGAGCACTGACAGAGTGCCAAGGAGCCGTAGGGCTGGGCTCCAAACCGGTGCGCTTGAGTGTGGCTATACCGAAAGCGTGAGTATAAGAGCACCCAGGTGGCTGTGGAAGAGCAGCAGCATGTGAAATCACACGGATTGTTAGATATTTGATAGTGCTTTGGGTGCACATCCTGGATGTTTCCGTCACAAGGTAGAGGAATACACACAAATCTGGTGAAGCAGCTGGAGTATCCGAATGCACAGACATCAAAATTTGTGCTGCTGGATCAAGACTAAACATTTTACACTGTTTTTAATTATATGAATGATTAAATACACACACACACACGCAGTATTTAAATACAATTATTTTAAAACTATGTATTCCTTTGTATTTAATTGAAATAGCCTAAGTCTGCTTATTGACTCCTGGATAGCAAAGCTCGATTGCCTTGTTCATTCTATTACAATGTCTGCTAAATATAAAACTTCTGGGGCAGGGATTAACTTTTTTTTCTGTGTTTGTTCAGAACCTGATACAATGAGATCCTGCTCTGACTTGGGGCTCGTAGCACTAGGGTAATACGAATAATAGTTATTGCTCCCTATTTGAATAACATGTAGATTTTTAGTGACCTCAGAAACCTCGGGGGGATAAGGAAGAGAAAAGGGGATGTGCTGTGGTGAGCAGACTGATGTTTCCCTCTGCCTGCTTCTCACTGATTGCATCTTTAGATATAGCTTTGTGCATAATGTGTTCTCATTTTCAAGCAACATTTGTCATCTCATTTCAAACCTCAGTGGTGAGGTGGGATTCCCAGTTTCTTGGAAATGCTGTCTCTTTATGGCAAGGAATGAGAATTTCAGTTAGCTCACTGTTTAAGGTTAATTTTTAATTACCCATAGTTCTTTTTACTTAAGAACTCTTTAAACTATTTGCATTGAAGGTCATCCTCTGAAGTGAGGATGGGGACAATCAGTTGTTGTTCAGGCTTTTCTGTGGCATCAGCAGAAGGGAGAGGTTTTGGACCTTTCTTACTGAAAGAAATCCCAGTTCTTCTGCAAGGCTCTGAGTCTTTAACTCTCAGTGAGAAGCAAAACTCAGTATCTTGCCTCTGGGGGCTGCAAAATACTTTGTCTCATTTAACAGAAGGAAAAAGGGCCCAAAAATATGGATCATGGTTCAGGATATTCTAAACTGAGGCTCATAGTCCCAGACTGTTCCCTTTCCAAAGCTAGGAGGTGATCCTAAATTACTCATAAAGAATTAAAGCAATGTTTGTAAATGAAGTTGAATATGAATACAGGAAGGAGGTTTGAATATAAACCACTTATTTCTTTCTGCATATGTATGTAAATGATAAAGATTACTTCATTCAATAGTGAATGCATTTTAAAGGCTGAATTATGCATGTTAGAATAAAGCCTGTTTATGTACCTTACTGTACCTTAAACTGTTTCTCTTCTGTTTTTACATAACTGTTCTGCATTATATGTAACCTATTCCTGCATTGTCTTTTTAAGTAACCGCATGAAGCCAACGGAGTACAGTCAGATGTACAACTATGATTATAACCAATATTACCAACAGTACCACAACTACTATGCACAGTGGGGCTACGACCAGAACACGGGCAGCTACAGCTACAGCTACCCCCAGTATGGCTACACACAGAGCACAATGCAGGTAGGGCAGCGTGGAAACTCACCCTGCACTGACTGTCAGCACAGAAACACAGGACAGCTTGCAGAGCTGTGATGGGTGCATGATACCAGCAGGCTCTGGTGTCTTAGCACGGCTCCTTAGTGAGGAAGCAGAACTGTTCAGCAGCACCTGGCTTGCACTCTTGTCTTTTAAGGGGGTTATTGCGTGGACCAAGTGAGCATAACGGGGCTCTAAATGCAATGTCATAGTAGAAGGCTTCTAAGATCCTTCATAAGCTTTGTTTTAGAGGCTGAAACAGGTCAAAACAGCCACAAACTGTGCCATTTGAAGAACTGCTGCCTCTGTTTTAAGTTTAGGGTGGAACCCACACCCTGAAGCCTGCCAGGAGGAGATCAGAGGGTTTGAGTGTGAGGAACACTGTTGTAATCACTCAGATTTAAAAGTCACTGTATAACAGTCATAATCAGCAGTTGATGCTTTTGTTTTTTTAATATTTTTATCTGCTGTCCTAAGGGTTTCTTTGTCCTTACAGACGTATGAAGAAGTTGGTGAGGATGCATTGGAAGGTATGTTTCTTGAACTCTTTATTGAAGTCATGCATTTCCTTTGTAAAGATTGGAGATAGCCTTTCTCAAACTGGCCTTTAGAATCAGTGTACAATATGCCTTTGTCTTTGATTAAATCTGAGCCTGATAATATTTGCTACTCACTATCACCTGGCATGCATCTTTATTTTACACTTGCTGCTTCCAGTCTAAACCTCATCAGGGCTGTAACTAATTGACCTCACTAGCACTAAGACCATTTGTGGTTTAGTGTCCACATATCCTTTGCCCTGAAAACACGTATCTTTGTTTTCTATAGTATACAGAATTTCATCCTTTTGGTTCATCTGGTTTTCTGGTATGCTACAAAAACAATGTAGGCATTCTGTTTTTTTCCATGGAATCTTGGTTTTTTTTTGTGAAGTCCAGCATACTTGGTGCTTATCATTTTAAAAAGAAATGATATCAGAGAGTGTACTGATAAAAGTATTAGTTTTAGCAGGCATGGGGTGAAATGGGTTACTAAACAATATTGGGGTTTTAGATAAACATAAGAGCAGCGTTCGTGCAAGAAAAAATTAATTTTATACTGGTAATTCCAAATCTCCATCTTGAATGGAACATGCACTGTATGGTGTAATTTCTTACTCTCTTAAAAATAAGAATTAAAAAAGCACATGATGAAAGCAGAAAGCAGCTGGGTGCTGTGCAGAACCCATGGGTATAAGTAGTGATGTCAAGGAGAGAGCCCATGCTGGCTTTTAAAGCATTACACAAGGGCTCTCCTTTCTTCAACATGCAGAAAGTGGAACTCCTGGGCTATAATTGGGATATCTCTGGGGTATCTTTTTCTTGTTGATTAAATTTCCTGTGAACTGACATGCTGTTAGGTGGTTGGGCAGTTAGGGACAACGATTGGCACAAGTTTTGCAAACTGTTCACCATACATTGGTAGCAGCAGAGAGGATCCCACTGGGTTGCCATGCAGCCCCCGAATGCTTTGCAAACACTTCATCCAGCTGTAAAACAGGAGACGTACTCGTGCTTAATGCTGTCGCTGGCATTTCTTTGGTTACTAACTGTGCAATGCTTTGAGATGTTTGAGGCTCCAGCAGATGAGCTCTGGTGACTGTGGCTGCAGAAGCAGATGCTGCCATCCCCATCCAAAGCAGAGGGAGCAGAATGGAACGTGTGCCTGCGCCCCTGCGGCTCCGCCGTGCCGTGGTGCCAGCACACCTCCTTTGGCAGTTTAAGTGGCCACACGGGGCTGCAAGGTGCAGGTATGCCTTCTCTCTGTTGGCTCTGCTGTTGGGGCAATGGCACTGAAAGGAGGGCATGTCTGCTGTTAGATTTATCCCATAGCTGAAAGATCTGCTAGGGCTGCAGTAGTCGGGTCGTGATTGGGCAAGTGGTGGGGATGATCTGGGGCTTCCTCCATGTTATTGTGATGTGTTTGTGGGGTGTGGGTGTTTTTCCTCACCCATTTAACACGCAACCTATTTGTTTGCCTTTTCTCCTTTAGATCCAGCACCTCAGTTGGATGTCCATGAAGCAAATAAACAGTTTATGGAGCAGAGTGAAGAGCTCTATGATGCCTTGATGGACTGTCATTGGCAGCCTTTGGACACTGTCTCATCAGAGATCCCAGCCATGTTATAGCCTTGTTGCTGAGGCACTGTCTGTGTGATGAATCCGCCGGTGTGCTCTGTTACACTGCAAATGGATCCTGCAGGAGTCAGGGGTGGCCCCTTTCCCACTCAGGTCTGTTACTGGAAGTGCAGGAGGAGTGTGGTGTTCCCTGTACAACGCCAGAGCATGGGAGCATCGTGATAACTTCTATTCGTGGTGGAAGTTAGAACTGCAACGGTTTTATTCCTTTTGTCTTGAAGTGAACTCTTAATACTACTTGTAATTTATAAACTTGCAACAGGATGGCACAGGGGAAAGACTACTCCAACGTACAATAAAGAAGTTGGTCTTTTAAGTAAAATTACCCATTGCTTTTTGGTTCCTGCCCCTTTTCTGTTTTGCTGCCCATTGAACTGTCTTTAGTCAGTTGATCCAACACTTGTCCATGTGTTGGTTTGGTTTGGTTTTTAAGAGTCACTGTCAGATTCCACTAAAACATCTCAGAAGCTTCCTAGTGACTGGGTGAAGTTGCTGTAAGTTGAGTATGGGAAGGAATCACGTGGATGAAAGCCTATGTTCTGCTTAATCTAAGCTGTGATCTTGAACTAAGCTTGGTGTTCCTAAGCATTTTGGAGAGCAAAGACAGGAAAGATTGTCAGAAAACTACTACAGACTGATGCCTTCTGCTTGATGGTCTCCAGCATGTTTGGCTTGCCTCTCCATCTGTGTGTGAGGAAAGAATTCCCCACCAGCCAAGCAGTTTAAAACACTTCTACCAGCAACCTTGTTACTGTATGTACGATGCCTTTTTCCTTGTTGACAGCCCTCGATGGGCCCCTTTATCATGTTAAGGTTTCACAGCGTCTTCCACTGTCAGAGTAAATATGGTGAAACTGAGGATCTTACAGCAAAAAACGGGTCAGAGCAATCCAATCAATGTATTGTGCAACAAATTGTTGCTGACTTGGAAAGCGTTTTTCTACTGAATGTTGTATAAGCTGGATGGACAAGCAATATATTTAAGCGAATATTGTGTTGCTTTAGAGGTGAAAGCAAAAATAATAGCACTTATGTACATGTTATAAGCCCTTTTCAGGCTTTTGTGCCTTAAACTCTTTGAGAAATAGGAAGATTTAAACTACCTGTAATAAATGTCTGTCCAAGAAATAATTTGGTGACTGATTGCTCATGCACAGCATTAAGTTGCCTCCCTTCCCATATTGATACAGAGATTTGCCACAAAATTTAAATACTTTCATAAAGCCTACTTCTGCTACACCTTTGTTTGTTTGTGATGTATTTGTCAGTCTGTGGTCATTTTTATCAACTGCAATGGTGGACATAACTGTGAATATGAGGATAACGGTGACCTGCACTGGATTTAACATATTTCTGGTGTGCTAAGAGGATTCTGCATTCTCTTCAGCTGGGAACTTATATCTCCTGCTGTGCTTTTGACAGTGCAGTGGACCATAAACAGTGATCTGACCTTCATTTGCTCTGTATTTAAGGAATGAATGCTCCTGGTGTGTGCTGTAGCATCTCAAGGGCAATGCAGAGGTGGAGGGGAGCTCCTTCCCTTTGATGAAGCTGCTCAGCAGTGCTGAATGCTAAGAAATGGTATCACTCTACTTGAGAAGCTCTTGTTCAGTAGGGTGGCATTTCAGAGGTGATGTGAAGGTTCTCACGTTCTGCTGTGACACATTCTACATCATTGTTGATGTGCTGCAAGAGTGCTACCCTGTGCAGCCTTCATTTTCTCTTTTTGTCCTGCCCTCCCAACCCCCCAGATTTCAGCTTTTATAATACAGCCCTCCTGGTTGACGACAAGCTTAGTTGATCTGTGCTGCTGTTGAAAGGCTGCCCAGCAGTGCTGTCCTTTTAATGTTCCCTAATACCCACAGCAGCTCTGTTACACACTGCTGACTGACACAGCCTGGTGCTTGCAGGAGGTGGAGAATGAAGGGAAGCCACGCTGTCTGAAGGTTATTGCAGAGCAGCTCCTTTCACAGGCAGGAGCTCTTGGGCAAAATTGTTCTGCAGTCTTCTTTTAGATCTGTGGCAGGAAGAACATTAGGAATGATTAGTCTGATCCATCATTATGGCATCCCCAAGCTTTTGGGATAGCTGTGTGCACACAGAAGGGGATCAGGACAATAGCAGGGCATTAGGAGCACACATCCATTTCTTACAGTGATGTCAAAGCTGGGAATTTCCTGGGAGAGAAGGAGAGGCAACCAAATTCCTCCCCTACTCAGCTGGAGTGAATGGAAAAGGAGGCAGCACCAGGCTTTGTGAGGCAAGGAAGCATCCTCCCTAGCTTAACTTTGTAGATGTGGGCTTTTAATTGCCATCCTCTTGGGGTTGTTTGTGAGAATCTCAGCCAGTGCTCTGCTGAGCTGGTAATCTCACCGTGCTTCTGTCTGCATGTCACTGATTTATCTCCATGCTCGTTTTCAGCTCCTGGCTGCTATTGCAGCACCTGCAGCAGGGAAGGCACTTTTATGTGGAACTACAAAGCAGCCTCATTTGTGGTGTCACCTGCACTTGTGGTGTTTGTTTTGGAATCCAGGTTGAAGAGAGTGTGGGATTTTGTTTCTTGTGGATGGCTAAAGGAAAAGCCCTCATTAACTTCCATTTGGTGTAACACAAGATGAAAAACAAGGACTCTGTGCAGCAAGATGAATTTTGCTTTTATCTTTATGTGCTGAAGGCAAGAAATCCAAGGCAAATGATATCACAGCTGAGTGGGAGAATGCAATTCTTGAACGTTGCATCAAAATCTGTGGCTTAGACTCAAGCATTCTGCCTTCCAGCACACAGCGTTTACCCACAGCACCGAAGTGACTTCAACACCCTGATGTTATTCGACTGAAATGCGATGACCCAACCTGGGTTATCCTTCAGATTGCAGGAGATGTCGGATGACAACCCGAGGTGCAGAGGCTGCAAACCACACGGTGCCAAGGGCTGCGGGGTTCTTCTGAGTGCCGTTGGAGGAGCGGAGCAGTTTGGGGCTGATCTTTAAGTATTCTGATGGTGTCTCATTATTGGCTTTTACCTTCTAACCTCGCTGTCTCCCACCCCATCTCATAAAACACCCATTCATGGATTTGACTTGGGATCTACTTGAACATGAAATGAATTTGATGCAATGACCACGTTTAAAAACCGATAAAGCTAATTCAGCCCTCCGACAAAGCTCTTCACCTTTTTTGGATGAGGTGATTCAGAGCCCATTACGCGTACTCACTCATCAATTACACGCGAGGTAATTAACACAGACACGCCTATCTCAGGTAGTGATTTATGAGGTCTCCAGTCTTCTATTCCACGGTCTCTTCTCCCTCCTAGTGTCCTTTCAGCATCATGACCAACCACCAGCCTCGTCCTTCATCCAGTGCTCCTCCCCGCTCCCCCCTGCACAAACCTTCCTCACCGAGACGCTCAGAATTCCCGCCATAAGTTATCGGCAGCAACGGCACGGAACTACAACTCCCAGAAGGCACCGCGGGAACACCCGTCCTCAGCAGCCAATCAGCGCGCGCGCTGCCGCACTATAAAAACCCACGGCGGGCCGCCCTCTGTCTCTCTTTGCGATGGCGGCGGGCCGTTGCGGTCGCTGCTCCGCGGGGACAATCCGCCGCCATCCGCCGTCTGTGGAGGCCCCGCCGCGTCGGTGCCCCGGGCGCTCGGCGGGATGACGTGGCTCCTTCCGTGGTGCGGGATCTGGGCCGCCGTGGGTGAGCGCCTGCCCGGGGTGGGGTGGGGTGGTTGTGCGGCCCGCCCGGCCCTATCGAAGCTGCGCCTGCCCTGCGCTGTGGCAGCCGCAGTCAAAAAGGAGCCGAGAGCCACGCGTTTTCCTCGACGGTCGCTGCACAGTTTGGTTTTCTGTAACTGCCCAGCAACAAATCGGGAAAATACAGGGGCTGGGGCTCTGACTGCAGCGTTCTCAGGTGTTGATGATACCAGAGCTGTGCTTCATTTGGAGGAGTGCTGGCGGGTGGGCAGAGCACAGCGTTGCTGTTCTTTAAATGCTTTTCTCCCTAGGGAGCGGTGTGAGGTGCTGTTCCTGTCGTCACCCGGTGCAGGAGGCGGTGCTGGGCAGGTGAGCGGTGCTGGGGGTCCTCACAGCTGCAATTGAACTCTTCCTCAGCCCCACCAGAGCTGCCGGCTTCCCCTCGCTGCACGCTGTACCCAAATTGCACGTTTGGAGGGAGGTTTTGTGCAGCATCCCTTGACTCAGAACTGGGAATCACATGAGACCCAAAGTCAGCGGATTGCTCTGCTTCTGTTGTGTCTGCTGCTCTGTATGGCTTCTCTAGCTGTAACAGGCCTTGGCCAAACCCACAGAATCACAGAATGGCCAGGGTTGGAAGGGACCTCAAGGATGATGAAGCTCCAACCCCCTGCTACATGCAGGACCACCAACCTCCCCATTTAATGCTTGACCAGGCTGCCCAGGGCCCCATCCAACCTGGCCTTGAACACTCCAGGGATGAACGGGGCATCCACAGCCTCTGGGCAGCTGTTCCAGCACCTCACCACTCATAGTAAATAACTTCCCCCTGACATCCAACCTAAATCTCCCCTCCCTCAACTTAAAACCATTTCCCCTTGTCCTGCAGTTATCAACCCTTTCAAAGAGTTGATTCCCCTCTCCTCTGTAGGCCCCTTTTAGGTATTGAAATGCTGCAATGAGGTCAAACCCAGCTGCATGTTAATCCAAGAGCTGTGGCTCTGACATAGCTGCAGGTCTCCAACAACATGCAAGAGCAACAGGAAGGTCTTTGACTGCTCGGCCTCTTCTGCCTGTTGCTGTCACTCACCCCTCCTATATATTTTTCAGGTTCTAGCTGGGGTGTTGCCCCCTCCTGTGATGGCTCTGGTGGTTTGGGGGCTGGTTGTGTCAGTATTGATGATATCTGAAGCCTGTTGCTGATTTTGGGGGTGTTGTTGCATTGTGTTCCAGGGTTTCTCGCTGTTTGGAGCTCACTGCCTGCCTGCTGATAGACCCAAGGTGAGAGTGTGTGTCTTTGCCAGAGCTCTGTCCCTCCAGATCCCTTTCCCATCAGATCTGAATACCGATCTTGTGGTCGAAAAAGGAGGAAAAGTAACATTCAGACTGGCCTTGGCCTCTTTGCTGGCACAGCTCTGCTCTGAGCGGGGCCAGTTTGAAGACATCAGTGTTTGCTTTGCTGCCCTGGGGGTGGCAGCAAAACAGAGCTGTGGGGTGAGGATTTGTGCTCTGCTGCTTCCTTGGGCACTGATTCTTAGTGCACAATGGCTGTTGAACTGCAGGTGCCTACCTGGGTTGTCTTTTTCAGGTTATCTGTTGTCTTTTTCAGGAACTGCATGCTTAGTGGAAGAGTCTGAGAGCTCATGAGACCCCGTGGAGGGTATTGGTTTGCTTTCCTTAAGGCTGAAATTGTGGAGAAACTGAAGTGGAGCATGTCAGTGCCTCTTGTGAGTAATTGCCCAGCATTTCAGGGGGGTTGGAGTGAGATCTTGTCAGTGTTTGTTGGCAAAGGGCAGTGGGAATGGGGTTTGCAGGTTGGAATTATAAACTTCATTAAAGGTCTGTAATTGGGCAGCCTCATTTGTAGGGCAGAGCTCCTGTGGGGTGAGCTGTTGCCTATTGTTGCTCTGAGAATAGCCTGGTCAGTGATGACATCTTTCTTTGGAGACTGCTGGATGAATCCTGCGGATATGGGGCTGAGGCCAGGCTCCAGCATCAGCTGAAGTCACTGCACAGTGTTGCACTGTGCTTCATTCCAAATTAATTCTTTTTTTCTTTGTTAGGTTTAAACGGAATACAGACCAAGTGTCTTCAATCCTGAAGAAGCAGCGGTCTGCACAGCCTCACGGTGGCTGCTCTGTGAGTTGGGAGCTCCCCCAGGTGGGAGAGCTGTAGTGGTGCAGCAGTCACTGAGTGCTGTGGGCACTCAGCCTCTGAGGGACAATGCCAGAGCTCCCATTCAGATGCTCAGCGAGGAAGAATGTTCCTTGCTACCGAGTTCTGTCAAAAGAAGAGCTTTCAGGAAGGTCTGGATAGGAAATATTTGGAGTATGGTACCAAAGTCTGGGGCTTCCAGCACAGGAGAGATATGCAGCAAAGCCAGAGCGAGTTGGAGGGGCAGCTGGGTGATGGCTGCCCTCACTGCATCAACGTGTTGGCACACAGTGCTGAGGTTTGGGCACAGCAGAAACGCCAATTAATCCTACAGTTCATTCTTACCTCTTCATCCCTTTAGACATGTAGCTCAGTTATATGATTTCTTAAAGTTTTACTGTTAAGACTTTTCCATTATAGTATGTAAATAATTTTATTATAAAATAATGATAAAATACATTTTACAAAATGCACTTGCTTTGTGCTGCCGGTCTGTTAACCTCTGTTGTCTTTGGTTCTCTGGGAGGAAACATGTATCTGTCCAGAAACACAGAAGTAGCATCTCCCAGGGTGCTCCCAGAGGTTCTCAGGGTGCCCTACAGTTGCCAGGGAGCTCTGGGAGCAGTCTGGTGTGGCCCAGAGCACACTGGGGCATACATAGACTAGAGTGGAGTACACTGGAAAGCCTCTAAGCTACCTTAGAATGCACTGAGAAGTTCTGGGAGTATTGTAGGTGTCCTCCAGAGGCATCCTTGGAAGCCTGTAGGATGCACTAGGAGACATAGACAAGCTTTGGGAATCCAATAGTGTGTCCTAGTGTATTGGATGGCCTCGGGAGGTCTCTGGGATGCACTGAGGGGTCCTGGGAGCCCAGTAGGACAGACTGGGAAATCAGTGAAGAACCTGGAGCGTGCTGAGGGGCTGCGAGAGGCCTCTAGGCTGTTCTGGGTTGTACATAGGGCTCCTCAGAGCACGTTCAATAGTTCTAGGAAATGTAGGACCTGGTTATCACACGACATCCCCTCCAACTCCTTCCGCTTTTGCTGACCTTCTGCTTCCCCTGCTTTTAATTGTGATGAGGGGCAGAAGCTCCACCACGTGTAGGGTGGGCTGCACCTTTCTGCCTTCTTCAGTTTTCTGGAGTTGGAGAATTTTTCCTTTCTCGTGAACATCTGTGTAATAAATGGCCGAACCGATGATGTGCTTCGTGCCTGTGGCGGTAAGTCCTCCGGCAGTACTGCGCCGTGCGGGAACGCGGAAGTGGAGTCTTTATTTTAACCGCTCTGCGCCGCCAGTCCGCCAATCTCCATTGTAATTAGTCCTCCAGGAAGTAACGCGCATGCGTCCGAAGACAAGACGGGAGGGAGGGGAGGGGATTTCTGCACAGCACTGAGGTGCGGACCACCGATCCCCTCACGGACCCTCAGCCCCATCTATTCACCGTTCTTCTCCGCTTCCCTGTTATAACGCTCGAGCCATCCCCGCTAAAGGACCGCTTTCACCCCCACTGCCCCCGCGCGCGCCGCAGCACCCGATTGGCTCATCACCACTTTGATTGACAAGTGCCCGTCCCAGCACCGCGCATGCGCGCCATCGCCGCGGCACTCCCTGCTGCCGTCTATTGAACAAAATCCGGCACTGCAGGCGCTGCTCTGCGCAGGCGCAGTGGTGCCGAGGCTCTCGCGCTGCGCACGGACGGCAGAACCGCGCAGCCGGTACGTTGGGCGGTGTGGGAGCGGCGGGGACTGCACAGAAAAGACACGAAACGGGCCGGAAAATGGTACCTCGGGGCACTGCTATGGGGGAAGAACACCGCTTCGGTGTGTGTCTCTGCTTACCTGCATGCAGCGCAGCAACGGAAAGCCCCGTTTCCCTCAGTGCCCCGGAACCTGGCGGTGCTGCCGGGCTGCTCTACGGGCAGCGCTCACACGTGCATCGCCGGCGTGTCGGCACCGCAAGGCCCTCGGAGCGCCCTAGGGTGCCCTGCAGCCGCCCTGGGAGCCGCCTGGTGCAGCGCAGGGGTGTGCCTGCCTGCCTGCCTGCCTGCCCTCTGCACGGTGCGCTGGGCGACCACAGAGCTCGGTGTGGGAGACCAGGGCGCGCCGTGGGGTGCTGCAGGGGTGATGTGGCAGCATTGGATGCTTGATAGGACACTGGGAAGGCTGTGGGGCACGCTGGGGGACCAGAGAACACGGACGAACCTGAGCGGACTTCAGTAAAACGAATGGCAGAGCAGCGAACCCGCACGGACTTCAGCGACCAAGAGTGAAACCCGAGCAGACTTCAGCAAACCCCTCCTTTTGTTGTATCTGTTGTTACTGCTGCATGGTGATGAAGCCTCGCTTTGCTGACTTCGTCATTCCCACAAAGACGTATCCTTACATCACTTCTCAGCAATGACACCAGCAAACCTGGCCTTTTTTCCCCCCTACCTTTGAAGATACGTTGTTGAATACTGGAGAGAGGATTCACAGCTCCGTAAGTCCGCTTTGTGTGCAGGACTGGGGCAGGGAGATGCAGTGCTCCTCATTCAGAGCCCTCCTCCTCTTCTGGACCAAAACCTCAGAACCTGGAGCGACAGTTTGAAGTCACAAAGCATTGAAGATGTGTGTACTTATCCAAAACCTTTGTAACATCAGTCATTGCTGTGTCTGTGTCTCACCCTCTGAACGCTGCGCTGTGCATTGTAAAGCAAATGGCTGCAGACTGCTGTAGCAAAACATCCATTGACTTCACCGCTGAGAAAACGTGACCAATCTTTAAGAGGCAGCTGCTAATTAATGATAATTAGGTGGCACAATTCGGTGCTGATGTTTTATGAAATCATTCCTCTTTTTCCTTCTGCAGCCGAATCAAGATGACGACGGCAGCCCCGCTGATCAGCATTACGCAGCCCTCGCTGAATGTGACCACAAAGTCTCAAGAACTGAGTCTCTATCAAAGTAAGACAAGTCGTGGGGTGGTTTTTTTGTTGTTTTTGGCTGTACCACAATTACCGTACCTTGAATCTTTAAGGAGAAAAACAGGCCACTGTACACTTTAGTTGCTGCGTAGCACATGGATGCTGCACTTTTTCAGCTTACCCCTCCTGTTCCTTCTGTGCCTCCAGATGCTCCCATCCCAAGCTGTTCCTCTGAATAAAAAGTAACAAAGAGAAATTATTTTAAAAGGGAAGATGTTGTGGGTTTTTTTCTTTGTTTCTCTCTAGCTTTTTAACCTTTGAATTTATCAAATTTCCAACGGAACATTGACAACTTCTTAAAAAAGACTTTATTTTTTTTTCTTCTTCCCTGCCAGGTTCTGGAGCAATAGTTGCTGCCATTGTAGTAGGAGTAATTATTATTTTTACAGCAGTTCTGCTCATACTGAAGGCATATAACAGGTATGTGGCTGAGTCCCGTGCTTCAGTGAGGAGAAGCCAGATGAACCAAAATCACTTCTGTGCTCTCATCTCACAGGCTTTCTTATTGCTGAAAATTTCAGGCAGAATTTGAGTATAATGTGCTTGATGTCCTGAATGCCAGGCTGTATTGGAATGGTTCTTGGCAGAGAATGCTTGATGGATGCACTTTCTAGAGGGCTTCTGTTGGCATAGGAAAAGCTTGCTGTGAGCACTGTGCTGCCAGAGCAGAGCTTGATTTCTCCATCTGAAGGCACTGAGTTCTGTACGTGTTCTAGGAGCGCTCACCTGCCATCTTCAATCTTTGGGATGAAGTCCTGCTTGATGCTAACTTCTCAATGGCTGTTCAGTTCAGCCTGTTTCTGTGGGAATCTTCCCAGTTCTTATCATGGGAGAAAGCACCGCAAATATCAGTGCTGATAAATATTTCATTTCTGCATTTACAGACACATGAGAGGGAAGCGGGAGCTGGAGCCCAAAAGCAGCAAAACAGCAGTGCCTCCTTTAGGGCAGAACAGCAGCAGCGTTACTCAGCATTGCACAGTGACTTTCATACCTATCCACATGCAGAGCAGATAACTGTGAACGCGTCCCTCCCTTTGGAGTTCTTACCACATGGAGATGGGGCTGCTCTGAAAAGTGGTACTGCATTTGCAACGGTGATCAGCTCTTATTTTGTTCTCTGTATCATAATTTGTCCCGCTTTCTCTCTTTGGGAGGAAAACTGGAAGATCTGAACACTTTCCGTCTGATGAGAATCATGGGGTGAAGGGATACAAAGCATCGAAAAACAAGGAGCCCTCCTTCAGAGCTTTGGGTGTGGGAAGATCAAAGAAGCCAAGCTATTCATTTGGAAAAGCCACGCACACTGATTTTGTAGAGCTTTTGCTTACTCAGAGTTTAAGCTTTTTCTATCCTGCAATGACTGATGATAAATGGAAAGAAAAATTGGACATGCAAGCTGCATGCAACTCAGGTTGTGCTTTGTTAAGGTTCACGTGAAACAGGTTTGTAGTTTGTTCTGTACACAGCGGATAGTGTGGGAAGTAGGAAAGCCACATTTATCTTTAGTCGTCTTTCACGTTTCTAATACCATGTTTGTATGGTTGTAGACAGAAAAGAATGACTTTTTTTCAAGTATATATTGAGATATTTCTAATAACTCGGTAACCTACTCGTTTCCAATGAACCAAATGTCTGAGGATTTTTACTCTCCTGCCAAAATCACTCTGGGTTTGTTACTGCTGTTGCAGTGCTTTCTCTATCTTGAAATCTGAGAAGTTCTTTACCTTAAGTAAACATGAGAAGGCAGCATAAAGCAAGCGAGGCATTTGCACTGAAAGGGTTTGTTCTCTATTGCGGACTAGGCTCGAAATATTATCATTTTTGGTTATAGAAAGTCGCTGAATGTGGTGATGTTTTCCAAACGTGATGATTGTGGGTGTAAAGTAATGCACCAGAGAAATTCCCAGCGGTGTTTCACAGCCCACTGAGTGTGAGCACACAGCAGCATTGTACGGATGCTCTGTGGCTCGTTGTTTGAGGCGCGCATGGAAAAGCATTTCCACACAACTGGTGGGAGGGGTAGGTAGCCAGGATTAGGAAGAAGATGAGTTAAACTCTGTTTTAAACAGAACTATGCAAAGCTGTGGGACACGTCTCCACTTCTAAATCCTATGGAATCGCTCACTGGGATGGCTGCAGTGGCACAGCCTGTATGTAGAACAAATCAGTGCGATTTGTTCCGAGTGTGGGATGGTAGCTGCAAGCTCCTGCGACCATTAGAGGGCCCCAGTCGTATAGACCTTCTTAAATACCTCCGTGGGGCATTTAAACTCTTTGGGAGCTGTAGGGAAGGAAGTCAGTAATCGGGGTCAGAGGAAGCCCACAGCTTTCCTCGTCCTGCAGCAGCTCCCTTGTTGTTCTGAGTGCTGCCACTGATCAGTTTGTATCCTTAAATCAAACCGGGGCTGACGGTTCTCAGAGCGGTAGGAGACAGAAGGGAGATGCTATTGATAACTCCAGGATGCGAGGGCGCCTCTGGCAGAGGTCCTTGTGAGTAAACTGCGTTTCTGCAGGACTAAATTCAATGACTCTGCGGTCTCTTAATGAAACATGACCACAGGGCGCGTTCCAAGCTAAATATTAGGACAGCTGCTTGGGCAGCCCGTGCGTCCTGCTAACATCTCGCTTGTCCCGGATCTCCGCCTCATTTTGGGGGTGGGAATAACCGATATTATCACGCAGCGGGGACCGCAGAAAACGATCGAGTTGCCCTCCTGTTCCTCTTTCTGTGCTGTTTTTGCGTTCTGCTTCGTCAAAACCCAGGTCTTTACAAGAATAAACCCTGCCTTGCACGCGGACGCTGCCCGCCCCGCTCTCGCCCCCTCAGCGCTCCCCTCCCCCTCACAGCGCCGCGCTGAAGAGGCGCCAACACCCGCGCGCATGCGCCGTTGGCCGTGAGGTCACGAGCCTCGCGCTACTCCGCTGAACTTCCGCATCTCGCGAGAAGATATACCGTCAACTCCCCGCCCGCGCGCCGCGACAGGACGTAGCGCAGCCACCGCGCGGGGGAACGCCGAGATTTGCGATTGGTCAGCGCCGGCCCGCCTACCGACCCGTCCTCCAATCGAGAGGCGCCGAAGAGCCTTCGCGGAGCGGCCGGCTCCGCCCCCTCCGTCCCTCTTAGCGTCACGCCGCGCGCAGGCGCACCGCGCTCTCCTCCTCCGAGCGTGCGAGGGGCTCGCGGGCGCGCGGTGCACGCCGGGACGGCAGCGCGCTGCGACCAGGAGGAGG